CGACTCCTCAAACACCTACAGTTAAGCGAGATAATTTATCAATAATTTATCTCACTACTCAAATTTAACATAAACCCATACTTAATAAAAATTAAGTCTTAAGGGTTTTAATCGGATTTATCATGGACTTGGAACTCTCTCATTTCTGAAAAATTATGACTCGGAGAACTAAAATAGGAGTTTCGGGACTTAAAATAATTTTAATAAATTTTTCTCATTTGAAAATAATTTTTAAAATCAAAATCGGTACGAAAAACGGACTACTCAAACACAGAAATAGTTAAAAAGGCCATCCTGGACCACCTGCCCGCTACTGGGCCGAAGGCTGCCCAGAATTTGGGCCTGAGGAACGAAATGGGCCGCCACACAAGGTATCTGGGCCGCAAATTAGGCCTGAAAATGCTAGGAAATGTGGGCTAGAGGGATCGGGTTCGCGGGCCAGGACGTGGGCCGCTGCTGGGCGAGATGACGGGCTTCGCGGGCTGGGACGGCCCGCGCACTGCTGGGCTCTATAATAAAAAAAAATGAAATTTTTGCAAAGGCTGGGATCGAATCCTTGACCACCCACACAAACATGCGCAAAGCTCATCACTGCGCCACTCGCTCAATCGTTAGTTATTATGCAACAAAATATACTAATTTTTCAAAAATGAGGCATGCGAATTTAATACTGAACAGAGCTGGGAACAGTTACAGAAACTGCAAATCAAGCACCCAAAATCAACGACAATGCTGAGCAGGTATCAGGTTCGGGGTTTTAATTAAACAATCAAATTTCAAAGTTTCGAAACATTTTAAAAACAGGCTTTATTTTCGAAAAACGAAGAGTCGTAACACAGTTGAAAACAAGCGAACAAAACGCCCCCGAAATAAATTACAACGAGACTCGAATCTTATTCGAATAATCACAGCAACATACGTGGTCGACTTAAAATTAACGAGAGTCCAATAATCTCCACGAAAAATTCACGAAACATACGAAATAAATAACGAATACGAACCCACAAATAAATTGAACGCGAAACCGACAATATGATTCAATGCGAACCAACAATAATCGAATGATATCACTCTAAAAAACAACTAACAAGAGGGTTTCGAAAAAGTTACCCTTCTTTGGGAAATTTGCGAGAAATCGGAAAAACGGTCAGACAAATGGGCCGTATGGATAAACATGATTGGAAGAGCTCAACACCTTCGAAAGCTCAGAACTGAAGCTCGATGCGCGGTTGCTCGCGATTTTCTGAAATTCGACCAACGGCGATGACCGGAGATGGCCACCGAAACAATGGCAGACAACAGCTCTGAACGAAAAGAAGGCTGGCAACGACGGGGACTGGACGGTGGCTGGCTGGACACAACGTGGTGGTCGCCAGTAGCAGGCCTGCTTGGAGAACGACCGGGGTGGTGACGAGGAAACGCCGGTGATGGAGCTGCTGCTCGCCGATTTCAATGGCGATTTGCGCAAGCTCGGTGAGAGAGGGAGATTACAGAGGAGGATTTGAAACGAATTTGATTTGGGACAATCTGAGATAAGGTCTCCACCACCGAGTCTTAAGTAGAGAAGGATCGAGATGCACGAACGAACGATAGACTATCGCGAGAAAATCTCACCTGCCAATTCGACTTCTGCGACGCGAGAGAGAGGGAGAGAGAAGGGAGGAGGCGGATCTGCTATAATAATGAAATTGGGCCAAGGTTAAAAAATTTGGTTGGGCCAAGGTATTAATAATAGTAATTGGATTGGAATTAATATTTAGCTAGGGAAAACCCAATTAAAATTGGGCCCGAATATTAAATACTCGATCGGGTACGATTGCGACGATAAATTAAACCGAATAATATGTATAATACACATAATAATATTTATAATAATAATAGGAATTTTAAAACAATTAGTCATTTAATAATAATAATAGTAATAATAATCCAACTATTCATAACCGAACTGGGCGTTACACCTATATATACTAAGCCGAAGGGATACAAAAATTTTGGAGGTGATGATGAATCTATGTGGCCTTATCATATTCTTCCACTTGCCATCACTAGAGTAACATTGGGTGCTTAGTGACCACATGAGTTCTCCTTAAATTGTTACGTTTAAGTTCTTAAGAAAGAAGGAAAAATTGTTTCCTACATGAGAAGGAATTGTCATGGCAACTAGAAAAGAATTGAGGAAAATTTGCTTAAAGGCTACGACTTTTAAGCTTGATAACCATAATTAATTAACCTTAATCCTTACTTTAATTAATTATTAAGCATAATACTTAATTACCAAAATTATTCCGAACGTAAACGGAACGTCGAAAATAATTTCGGGTATTCTCGACTAAAAATAATTAATTCCAAAAATAATACTCGGCAATATTATTATTTCGGAACTAGAAACATGATTTATATTAATAAACTGACGGGATATTACAATCCTCCCTCCTTAAAAATTTCCGTCCTCAGAAATTCAAAACAAACTGATTACACATGAAATATATACATGGAACATGGAAATATGTACATCAAAACTGGAAATCTGGAAAACGAGCTCGAATATCAGCCTCTGCTTCCCAAGTAGCTCCGTGGCGATCACACTGAATACGCACGAGGGGAACATCTCGCTTCCGGAGCCGACGAACCTGACGGTCCAGTACAGCTACCGGTCGCTCCTCGTACGATAAGTCTGGCTGAACCTGAATATCTGTATGAGGAATGACGTGATCGGGGTCGCACACGTACTTACGCAACATAGATGCGTGAAAGACATAATGAATGTCGGATATCTCGGGAGGTAAGGGTAATCGATACGCGACTTCGCCTACTCGCTCGAGAAATTCGAACGGGCCAATGAATCGAGGGTGCAGCTTCCCTCTCTTCCCGAATCGAACGACTCCGCGAATAGGACGAACTCTAAGAGAAGCTGGCTCGCCAACCTCGAATTGTATGTCTCGTCAATGATGATCGGCTGAGCATTTCTTTCGACTCTGAGCTGTCTTGAGCCTCTGCCGAATCAACTCGACCTGATCTACCATCTCCTCGATCATCTTCGGACCAAGTACTCGTCGCTCTCCGACGTCGTCCCAATAAAGAGGGAAACGACACTTACGACCGTAAAGTGCCTCGTAAGGAGCCATCTGAATAGAAGAATGATAGCTGCTGTTGTACGCGAACTCGGGTACGGCAACAACGACTCCCACTTAGCACCCCTATCAACAACCAAAGCGCGAAGCATATCCTCAAGCGTGTGAATGGTCCACTCGGACTGACCATCTGTCTCCGGATGGTAGGCTGAACTGAACTCTAGCTTCGTTCCCATCGCCTCGTGTAAACTGTGCCAGAATCTACTAACGAATCTGGGATCTATGTCTGATACAATAGTAACGGGAACTCCGTGGAGTCGGATAATCCCACGGGTATATATCTCAGCCAACTTATCCAAAGACATCTTCATCAAAACGGGTAAGAAATGCGCAACCTTAGTCAAATCTGTCGACCACGACCCAAATAGCATCGTGATGTTCAGACAACCTCGGTAATCCCGTAACAAAATCCATCTTGACTTCCTCCCACTTCCACCTCGGAAACGGTAGTGGTTGCAGGAGGCCGATCGGACTCTGATGTTCGGCTTTGACTTGTTGACAGGTAAAACATCTCCTGACGAACTCGGTGATGTCCTTCTTCATCCCTCGCCACCAGAACGACCCTTTCAGGTCATGATACATCTTCGTGCTCCCGGGATGGGCTAGGTAAGGTGCGGTATGAGCCTCTGACAATATCTCCTTCCGCAACGCCTCGACTTTCGGGACCACGATCCTGCCTCTGAACTCTAGGGCACCATCTGAACCTAGCTAGAAATCCTCGACGCCTCCGGCACGGACTTTGGCCTCCATGACTCGTACGAACTCGTCTGAAGCCTGCTCCCGCCGGATTCTCTCTCTCAGCGTCGGTTGATCTGCATGGCACTGATACTAGCACTGGCACTCCCCGAAATGGCTGTGGGAAGTGCGTCGACCGCCTGAATTTGCATCCGGGCAAACTCCTGAATCAACGGATTCTGTTGAGTAACGACGTACGTCAAGTCACCCCTCACCTTTCGGCTTCGGGTGTCCGCAACGACGTTCGCCTTCCGCGGATGATACTGAATCGAGCAATCGTAATCCTTGACGAGCTCGAGCCAACGGCGCTGTCTCATGTTAAGCTCCTTTTGCGTGAAAATGTACTGCAGGCTCTTATGATCTGTGAAAATCTTGCAACGACCGCCGTAAAGATCATGTCGCCAAATCTTGATGGCGTGAACAACTGCGGCTAACTCCAAGTTGTGCATCGGATAGTTCTATTCGTGTGGCTTAAGCTGACGTGAAGCATAGGCAACGACCTGGCCGTCTTGCATTAGTACACATCCCAAACCCTGCTTCGAAGCATCACTGAAAATGGTGAAACTCCGAGAAGGATCGGGAATAGTCAACACCGGTGCTGAAGTTAATCTCCTCTTAAGCTCTTGAAAGCTAGCCTCACATCGGTTAGTCCACTCGAACTTCACAGAATTCCTCGTCAGCTGGGATAGTGGGAGGGCAATCTTAGAAAAGCCCTCGATGAACCTGCGATAATAGCCAGCTAAACCGAGAAAACTGCGAACCTCGGACGGAATCTTCGGTGTCGAACAGTTCTGAACAGCTGAGACCTTATAATGGTCCACCTCGATACCTGCCTGAGTAATCACATGACCCAAAAAAGCTACTCGCTGGAGCCAGAACTCGCATTTGGAGAATTTGGCATACAAATTTTCTCGTCTGAGGGTTTCGAGAACCACCCTCAGATGCTCCTCGTGCTCCTCCTGGCTCTTCGAGTAGATAAGAATATCGTCAATAAAGACAATAACAAACAGATCGAGGTAGGGATGGAAAATACAGTTTATCAGGTCCATGAAAACTGCGGGAGCATTACTGAGGCCGAATGGCATGACAACGAACTCGTAATGGCCGTAACGAGTCCTGAAAGCGGTCTTAGCAATATATGACTATTTAATCTTCAGCTGGTGGTAGTCTGATCGTAAATCAATCTTTGAAAACACACAGGCTCCACTCAACTGATCAAATAAGTCGTCGATCATGGGAAGCGGATACTTGTTCTTGATCGTCAACTGGTTAAGATCCCGGTAGTTGATACACATGCGCATGGATCCGTCCTTCTTGACAAAGAGAACGGGTGCTCCCCAAGGTGACACGCTCGGTCGGATGAAACCGAGTCATAATAGCTCCTGAATCTGCGCCTTAAGCTCCTGCAACTCCTTCGGTGCCATACGGTAGGGGGCTTTGGATACTGGGCCGGCTCCTGGAATAAGATCAATAGAGAACTCCACCTGCCGGTTAGACGGTGCTTCTGGAAGCTCGTCTGGGAACACGTCCACAAACTCACAAACAACTGGGACATCGTGAGGTGGTCGTGCTTTCTGAGAATCATCGACAAGGCTCACCAGATAACCCTGGCAGTTGCCTCGTCGCAGCAACTTGGTGGCTTTCGCCATTGAAACAACCTGAGGCAATGTACGATTTCTAGTGCCAAAGAAAGTAATCGACTCGTCTCCCGCAAGATAAAGAGTAATCTCCCGGTCATGACATCTTATATCTGCGTGATAAAAGGATTGCCAATCCATCCCGAGAATGAGGTCAAAGTCCCTCATCTCAATAACATACACGTCGGCAGACAATAAATGACCACCGATGGGAAGGCTGAGATCTGAAGCTCTAGCTGAGATCACTATCTTTCATCCCGAGGCTAGACTCACCTCAAGAGGATCGACAGCGGTAATGGCATGAACTCCGATGGCATCAAGGCATCGTCGTGAAATAAAGGAGTGCGTCGCTCTAGTATCAAATAAACCGAACACAAGAATATTATTAAGCATGATCATCCCTGACATAGTACCTGGCTGCTGCGCGGCCTCGACCTGATCGACTGTGTAGACTCGGGCCTGCTGTCTGCCTCTCTGCTGCTGCTGCTGTGGTGGCCTCTGAGCCTGCTGACGGGGCTGCTGCTGCTGTTGTGGCTGCTGAGGCTGCTGGGGCTGCTGGGCCTTTCTCGGACAATGATTAGCAAAGTGTCCGGGCTCGTGGCAGTAATAACATATATCCTGGCCGAAGCGACACTCGCCTCGATCAAAACGTCCGCATGTGGGGCACTGTGGAACCTGCTGTTGTGTCTGTCGGGTCCTCCGGTCGGTCTATGCGCCCTTCCCCTTCCTCTTCTTCTCCTTCGTCGGCTGGGCAGCTGGTAGAGCTGGTGGAACTGTGGATGACTGAGCTGGAGCGGCTGGCTGAGGACGATCACGGATGGCCTCCCTCCTGATGCTGACGTCCACCTCGTGGGCAATGGAAACGGCACGAGCGTACTTCTGGGTCCCGTGACCTACAATGTTGTGACGGACTGCTGGGTAAAGCCCGTCAATGAAGTGTTGTGCTCTCTGGGCCTCCGTACGAACCAAGTCAGGAACGAAAGCTGCAAGTCTGGTAAACTATCTCTCGTACTCGTCAACGGAACGAGTACCCTGTTTGAGCGACAGGAACTGACGCTCCATCTCTGCTCGGTAATAGGTGGGGTAGTACTTCTCGCGGATCAGCTCCTTGAGCCTATCCCATGTACATCCCTTCTTCTCGCCGGGACGCATGCTCCAGTAGGGATTCCACCAGAGCCGGGCATCGCCGGTTAGCTGAAGCTGAGCACAAATAACACGATATCTGTCTGGACAATCCATGACCTCGAAGATCAACTCAAGGCCCTAAATCCACCCGTCCATGATACGGGGATCTCCTTGCCCGAAGAATTTCTCGGGGTGATAGTCCCGAAACTGTGCGACTACCGTGGCTTAAGGAAGAACCGGTTGAGCGGGTTCCCTACGGGGCGGCATCTGATCATTGAAAAAGTTCAAATTATTGAACACATGAAAAATATTCTGACTGATTACTAAAGTACACAAATCTCTTGACGATTTGCCAAATATGGCGGGGAAATGCTGCTATAGATCCTGAAGGAGTCTGGAGTTATATCTGAGTACACTGAATTCTCAAGTCTGATTCTGATTCGAGTATCTCAACTAAGTCATGATTAATAATATTTGAGCATAGGCAAAGTAATATGTTTATAACTGAAAACATCAATCAACACTTACCTGTAGTCGGTGAGGCGTGAGCATGACGGTTCTGGTTTTTCTGAAAATTACTGACTTATAAAACTTTTCAGAGACGCAGAAACGTGCTCTGATACCAAGTGTAATACCCCGCTATTTTACTGAAATCAGAGTACACTTTTTCGCAAATTTTTCTGAATAACTGAATAAATTATTTATTTTGCGAAAACTGATTTGGAGTGCTACCGTGAAAATCTGAATTTTCCAAAAATCGTTAATTTTAAATTGATAATAAAAACGGTTATATAATGTATTAACCGACTAATGTCGGATCAAAAGTTGAGTTCAAGTACTGAAAACTGAAGCGGAATAGTAGCGTGGCCAAAACATAACATATACATATCAAAACAAATATCCTGAACAGCTCGTCAGCTAACTCCTCGTCCCCGACCTTGTGACCTGAAAAACATAAAATACGTGGGGGCGTGAGCACTAAAACACTGTGCTCCGCAGAAATTCATACTAAACTAAAACAGTGAAAATAATAACAATATCATGATCCTGGCATATATAATTGAACTTAAACTGAAACTGATAACTGATATCTGACACCGTTACTGAATAATCTGATACTGATCTCGTTATATACATCACCTGTCTGAAACTGAACATCTGCCAGCATAAGCCGGACACCATGTGCACACTCTGGTGGGAAAATTAAGGCCACTGGAACTTAGAATAAA